GGTCTTTTCTTCAAGTAATCTTGCAAACCTAATATGATCGATATGATTTGATAATGTAGTCTCTGCATTTAAGCAAAAATGTTCCCATTATTATACACTGGACCGCAAAGAAAACGGGTCGGTTAGAAAATCGTCAATATCTTGAAAACTACTTAACTTATTTTTATGAAATAAAAACTAAATTAAAGATTATTTAATTGTAATTTATTGAATATAAAAAAATACAAATTTAAAGTTGTCTGTTTTCAATAAATGTCAAACGAATGAAAAAGGTAGTTTTTCTGACATTTTCGTAAATATGAATTGTATAAAGATGTGACGTTTTTACGCATGTTAGTATTTCGTGTTGCCTCCACGAGCTTGCAAAACTGCGGCTATGCGATTCGGCATACCTTCCACAAGGTTTTTAAGGCGATGCTGCGGAATGTTCTGCCGTTCCTCGATCAAAGCTCCTTTCAATTCACGCAGCGTGATTGGCGGCGGATTCCGTTGACGTACACGTCGTCCCAGTTCGTCCCATGCATGTTCGATGGGGTTTAAGTCGGGGCTTCGTGCTGGCCACTCCATGCATGTGGTACCTACTTCGTGAAAATAGTCGAACACTATCTGAGCTGTATGCGGGCGGGCGTTGTCTTGCATAAAAACAGCATTTTCGCCCATATATACTAAAAATGGACCAACATAGTCATTAAGAATTTCATTCACATATCGTTCTGCTGTTAAACTGCCATTTTCTATCACTACTAGCTCAGTACGGCTTTCGGAAGAAATCCCAGCCCACACGTGTATAGAGCCACCGCCATATGGTACTTTTTCTTCTATACAAGCTTGGTTATAGCGCTCTCCCGGTCTTCGGTACACTCTTTTCCTCCCATCGTGCTTGTATAAACAGAATCTAGACTCGTCTGAAAACATAACTCTTGACCAGTCATCCAGAGTCCAAGTTTCGTGTTCTCTGCTATAACTCAGCCTTGAGTTTAAGTGGTGTCTTTTTAATTTTGGGCCATTTGCAGGCCTTAATGGTCTCAAATTTGCTTCAGCCAGACGTCGCCTTACTGTATCTGTACTCAGATAGTTTCCTCCAGCTCGTAAATGGTTATTTTTTACCTCAACGGCCGTAAGAAATCGATTTCTCAAAATTGTTGACACCATATCGCGATCCTCCCGCGCAGTCGTGCACCTCGTTCGGCCTGTTCCTGGTCTTCTTAGGTTGGATCCAGTTTCATGGAAACGCTGGAGTACCCGCTGAACTGTGGAAAGACTCACACCAACAGTTCTCGCTGTATTGCGCTGACTGCGCCCATCTTCAAGCATTGTCAGGATCCTGGTGCATTCTTCAGGGGTTAACGACACGATGACTTCAGAATACAATTTTTGTATGACAAACACACGATATTTATTGTAGTTTTTATGTCAAAACTAAACAAATGCGAAACAAATGCTTTGATTTTTTAGAACTAAATTGAAAAACAACCATTATCTTCATTGCCAGTTTTCTTACACAATTATCTAAAGTAAATAAAAAGGTTTTATATACTATGTTAAATAACATTAAATATTCTTTAATTGAGTTTTTATTTCATAAAGCTAGGTGAGGTAGTTTTCAAGTTATTGAAGATTTTCTAACCGACCCGTTTTCTTTGCGGTCCAGTGTATTTGATCAATATTGTATTCATAACGCTATAAGAAAAAAAAAATACTTAAAAAACAGTCCTTTTAGGTCCTGGGTAGTTAAAGTAGTCGCGCGGATTGCGAAAAGTTCGGGTTCCATGGATTTTTTTAGGATTTTTCATTAAACATAGCAATATTCCCATCCAGTTCTGGCTTATATAATTTGTCTGGACGAAGACTTTGCTTCGAGATAATGTCCAGAGTCTGATAATGGTACTGGAAAGTTGTCATGTTGATGTTGTAATAAAATATCGCATTTAGACTCGTTTGATTTGTCTAAACAAAGTGTCTGGTTCAACAAAAGTTTGTTTTTGTAATGCAAATTTTATTTTAAAATTTTGAAGGGGGAAGTATATTTAATTGTCTATTTTATGTTTAAAGAAAAATTGTTGTGCTATGATCAGTTGTACGGAGGCAGTTGCGTGCCAGGAGAGTTATATACACATGACTGAGTTTACTGTACATAATTCATCAATTGCTTAATCTGTGACTAAGACCGCATGACCGTGGGCAATAGCTTGTATATAATAATCTATAGGCAACATATTTAATTCGGAAATAGAGTTGTGAAATAAAAAAAATAAACATCATATAAAGAAATTACAATAGAGATGACTGAAATATGATAGCTAGTTTGGATAGATAAAGAAATTGTTAAAACTCGCATACTACGAAAATAAGGAACAAAAATATTGCCATATTTGTATTTTGCATGAAAAGGCAATATTCATATCGGTATAAGTCAAAATCAATTATCTAAATTTATACTCGTCATATTGTCGGGAGAAATTCCGTAGACAATTGCTGACAGATTCATGTTGTGGTGATATCTGAGATTACAGTCATGCTAATGTGATAAAATACATCCTTGAATTCGACGTCGAGCTCAGCGCTGTCATGCCATAAAGCGTCAATGAAAAAGAATCTATATTACCTTTCCAAGTGGGTTCTATTTGTTTGTATCTCTACGCAGTGCTCGTCACTGAGTTTTTTTTTTCAATCTCTTTTAGTAATAGAATATCACTGGTTGACGGGCATGTGTCCGAGAGAGGAATCGAACTCCTTTTGTTATCAGAACTACTACTCTTACCAATAGTATTATCTGAAAGGCAGTGGTACCGAAATTTTCTTTTCTCGTGCCAACCAATAATGCTATTTAGGGATATTGTAGATGCACATATTTCGAAATCCATGGATACAAATGCGGATTTATGAATGCTCACATTTACAGATGTGGATGAGGACAATAAGATTATTACAGACATTATAACACGTGCAAAAATAAAATAAGAAGTGTCATTTTAAGGATTTTTTAAAAATAATTGTTAAACAATCAAAGATGGCTTTTGGTATATTATGGGTGATTCTTGGGAAATGTGTTCTCCGTGTAATTTCCAGGGCATTTTTGAAATCGCAAAATTATGGTGAATTATATAAATATTTCGAAACCTTCTGCAAATTTAAACAACATATTAAAATTGGCCACGACTAAGATCTATACTTTTGCTTAAAAAAAATGTAGAAAATTTGCGGACCATGGAAATTACAATAAAGGCAATGGAAATTACACAGCAGATAAAATTTTGCTAAATACCATGTCATATATGAAATTAAGCTGTCATATTAGTTAGGGTAGTATTAAGATCTACCTACATTATACTGAAACGATATACCATAGTACTTACTCAAAATTGGAACGAAACGTAAACACGTTCATGTTCTCAAAAAATAAAACATATACAACGTGTTATGGAAATAGCGCAAAACCTCTATCGTTTTTGAAAAAACCATTGGCCCTACAGGTACCAATTTAGTGTTTAATTAAAGTAATTTTTTACAATAAATGAATTAATTATATAATATGTTAACTTAATCCGGTGTAAAAAATGTCCTTGTGACCCTGTTAACTTCAAACAGACGACAGCGAAAGACAGATGTTTTAAACTTGAATCTGTTTAATCACGATTTTAGAATTTGAAGATGATGATCAAAGTTTTAAATGATATTTTAGACGATTTAATTTAAAAAAATAACCAACATTCAACATTTAAGTCTGTATGTGGCGATGGCGTGCATTTCATTGAAAACAAACATTGAACATAACGTTTGTTTTTTTGCAACCAAAAAGAAACAAGGTAATTTCCATGGGTGATATGTAATTTCCATGAGTGATACGTAATTTTCATGGTGTTTTATCCATGGAAATTACACCATGGAAATTACCAAAAAACATATATTTTGAAATTACTCTTCATTGAAAAGATATAACCGGCTAGTTCTTTACTGTTTATCTACATTATAGAGCTAGGTATTTGACCTTAAAACCCATTTTCTAGAAGAAGTACAATTATATTGAAAAAATGTGACATGGCAAAGCCGGATAACTGAGAACTAAAATTTAAAAAATTGAAGAACTTATTCTAGCAGCAAAAGCATGGGAAACAGCGACGTGGCCACCTCACCTACTAGCTGCGGCGTAAATGACGATTCGCAAACACCAATCGGGGTTCGCCTACGCCTCGCCAGCTCAGAGCAGTGCCTCGCGCAAGGCGCGCCGCGAAAATTTTGCTAAGCGTGTGACACGTATACTTCTGACCATAAAATCAAAAGTTTCCTTCCGATTAATTTGAAATTTGATCAATATGTAAACCAATATTTTTATAGGAGATATGTCCCTGTGACACTCAAAAATTGCTTTTCCAAGAAGTACCCTTATATTTTATAAAAAAAATATATGGCCGCGTTTACCCTACAGTTTATAAATAGATTAAACTAAACAATTATTCACTTGTAACACTCACTGGTGGTGCCGATAAAAACAGAGGATGATTTCGTCGGCTATCCTGCTCTAAATTGCATATTTATAATGTCATAGAGTAGGACAGAGCATCATAAAATTGACGATATATAAAAAATTAGTTTTAAGAGTACAACCAAGTACAATAGCTAAGTCTGTCTTATTTCTTTAGCTCCTACGTATTTTTAATATAAATAGCAGTAATTATAGTATAGTAAATGCTAAATTTATTATAGTATAGTAAATGCTAAATTTATCACAGATAATAACATTATAGTAGTGTTTACAATCTGTTGTATCGCCGGTTTCTCTTGAGGTCTGTGGGTCGATTCCCGATCGGGTCAATGTAGAAAATTAACTTTTTATATTGTCTCAAGTCTGGATATTGAGGTAACTTCGTTGTTTCAGATTTGCATAAAAAATAATCCAATTGAAATTTGGAATCTTAGCAAGCACATGATATATTTTTGATGTTTTTCAACTTTGGTCAAAGGCTTTCATAAATTAACCACGGTAATTTTACTCTTCACAGTTATTTACAAAAGAAAACAACTTCATGAATGGGAGTCAGCTGACATGATATACCAAGATGTCTTTTAGGAATTACGTAAGTTTATTTAGAAATTTTGTTCATTTTAGAACACCCGCACCCCGCAATAAAATAGCCACTATAAAAATTGCATTCACTAATAATACTGCATGCCAATTGTATTTATATTATATATAAAGTATGTATTCATTGAAATAAGCATAAACAATAATACGTGAAACTTTCACATTTGACAAAACGTCAAGATAACCCAAAAAGGCAAACTTTCCAATCCATTTGAAGTCTTAATATATATACCATTGATAGTTAAGTTCATAATTGATTACAGATAGATTAAAAAATCTGATCTGCTGCTTTGCATATTAAAAAAGAATCTAGAAAAAAATCAGCTTGAAATGTTTTTTCCTTGAAATGTGTTATTAAAAAACTTTGACGTAGCATTGTTTATTTTGAAATCGGGTATTCAAAGCTGACTCAGTTGAGTTCAGTAAAGGGTTTACGCACCTTTCTGCTAGATTTTGCACTATTTTGTTATATTTGAAATCAAATTTTCTAGGTAGATACTTTTTAACTTCTAATGGTTATCATAAAAGTTAAATGTTGCTGCTAAATTTACAAAATACATTTATTTAATGCTTATATTTTCTATCAGGTAAGTTTTTATTGCTGTAATGTAACGATAAAGAGCTAATAATTTGTATCTACACATTATATTTGCAACTGAAAGACATCTTCAACGGATGGTAAATCATATATTCTCTCTTCTTTTTATTTTAAATATAGTAGGTTTATTAAAAGCTCCACGTATTTCTAAGCCCCCCTATTAATCAGTCTACTGAATATCAATAATTCTCATCCTAAACAAATCCCTCCCTTTTCATTTTACGTTTATTTGCAGTTTTAACATCTTTATATACTTAAGTAATACAGTTCAGTTTTCAACACACTACACCGAGTGAACTCAATATTGCGCCCAAGCATTCCCTTTGCTATTTATAAAACCGAGAAAGACGAAGCTTTATGCATGATGGTGTCGAATGAAGAACATAGATTTTGGTACTGCGCTACGGCATTACCCATTAATACTTGAGTATTATGATCTTGATGATCAAGATTTTGCGGGAAATAGCATCTTATTGATTTTATTCATGTAGACGCAATATTATTTATACCTGATATATCCGAGATTAATCGTTGATTTGGAACTGAATTCACTTTTTTTTATTTCAGTACGATACGTCATCTTACGGACGAACTCGAGATAAAGGAAGAACGTCAACAACTAACATCACAGCGGACCGGCCGACAACAGTAACTGCTAAATACCTCAATACCACACCTTCATACAAATCATCCAGCATCCCAGTACTGTGTTCTGATAGACCCGAACGTTCAACGACTAAAGATGAATCACCCATATCGGCAATTGCGAATCGTTATGCCAATTATGGAAAGACAGATAAAACTACACCAAAATTCGAAAAGAAAGACTACACTAAACTTTCTGTACCTTCAGTCACTGGAAAAAGTAGAGACGTTAGCCCCGTATCGACAACTTCGAAATACAGCTATAATCGACCCTCAAGACACTTTAGTCCAGAGAGGAGAACAACGAAAAGTTATAAAGAAAAAGTCCGAGATTCTAGTCCAGGGGATCGCGACAAAGACATTCCAAGTAAGACTGACAAGTCTTCAGGCTACAACAGCCTGTCGAGCTACAAATTATATCCAAGAAGTTCAAGTTATTCACGTCCTGCTTCTAGAACGGAGGTTAAACCTGAAGTCACTGTTAATAGATATGCCATTGCAAACCGATTATCGACAAATTATTTAAGAAGTCCTCCTACCGTAAAACGGACATCGGTTTCTCCGGTGAACCATAGTGACACAAGTTCAAAAAATGAAATTGAAAAGTCGCTATCGCCGACAATAACTCATGTTGAAATAAATTCTTCCCAAAAACATAAAAATAAAGAAGTTACTGAAAATGGCAACGATATAAATGAAGAAGATGATGAGGCTGAAACTGTAACAGTTATGGTAATAACTCGTCATACATCACCCACTCCACCAGGTTCTTCGGCTTACGTAAGAAACAGAAGAGCAGATATGGCGAAAACTGTAGAAAAGACGTTAACGCGGTCCAAAAAAAGATTAGAAATGGTCGACAAGGAAACTCAATCTGATCGTTTAGATGATACTAGTCGATCCAGTAGGTTTGGAAACACTGCTAGAACCAGTGTAACTAACTGGTCATATTATTCACCAAATAGTTACACTGGATATGCTGGGCGATATTCAACACAATATTCAAATGTAAGAGAAAATTCTGTAAGTAATTCCTATAGCGACAGAACAAGTCGAAGTCACAGCACAGAACCTCCATTACGAGAAAATAATAACGTAAGTCCATACAGTGAAGATAGTAATGATAATAAACATAAATCAAATGTGAATAATAATACACAAGAACCAAATCAAGAAATTGTAGCCATATATGAACAAAATAAGGAAGATGATATGCCGGAAATTATAATAAATGTAAATCTTAAGCTCAAGAGAGCTAAAAGTCCTGCAACTTCGGTGGCTGCAGCGGAATTTATATCGCCAGAGTTAACTATTACCAATAGTCAATTACCACCCCAAGCGCCCAAACCGGATGGAGCTGCCAAACCAAAGAAAATCAAAGTACGAAAATCTAGCACAGATTCATCTTCTGACTCTTCATCAAAAAAGAAAATAATCAAAAAGAGAAGTAAGTCAGTGAGCTCAACAGATTCTGATCAAGCAAATGAAGTAAATGATTCAAATAAGGAATCAGTTTCTATTTCATCCAAAAATATAAAAAAAACTTCTTCAAGTAGTAATTTACAAAACGGTATCGCTAAATTCAAACATTCCAAATCGCGAGATAGCAATAGTCCTGAATCAAGCGTTACTTTATCCACGCAATCTTCCATAAGTGAAGATGAAGTATTGCGTTCTAAAACTAACGATATATCTAGAACTTCTGCTGATGACTCATCACTGCCCATTGACAAATCTGCAAAGCAGTCTTCACCCTTGCTATCTCAAAAAAATGACAGTGGTCCTGAAGATGCAAAATCATTCTTAATAAGGGCTCTAGCACCAGTTACAAACCTTTTCAAAATGAGGCATCAGGAATCAAGTGATAACAGCCGTTGGCCTGAAAATTCTACTTCTGAGTCTACAGGAAAAGATATTTCCAATCTTATTACAGAAAGTGATAGATCAAGTAAAAGCAAAAATATAGTGGCCTCTAACGACGATAATGTTGTTAAGCTTAAAAGTATTAGACATATAGAATCTGGCGAAAGAGCATGGTGGTTAGATTCGGAATCTGAAAAAAAAAGTTCAGACAATCGACTTTCTGGTTCTGAAAAAAATATACCGAAAATGATTCGACATGTAGAATGTAGTGAAAAAACACGGTGGCAAGAGTCTAACAATGAAAATAAATCAGAATCCCATTCAAATCATGTTAACGGTACTGAAAGTTCTGATTCTAACAAACAATTGAGAAAATGTAAATTTGTCGACGACGAAAAGCCTTGGTGGTTAGATAGTAGCGCAAATATACCTGAAGGCATCGAAAGGCTAACACCACCGAGAAAATCATCCAGTGATAGTGATAAAAGTGAAAAATATAATTTTTACAAAGTACGTCGTATAGTTTCAGGAGAACAAAAGGACTGGTGGCTTACGAGTAACGAAAACTCTTCACAAACCAATAAACAAGAATCAGTAAGTAATTTGAGTAAATCAGGTTCTGATCAAAAGAGTTTTCCTCTAAGAAGAATACGCCACGTTGAATCAGGAGAAAAACCATGGTGGCTGTCTAGTGACAAAAACATTCCAGAAGGTATAGAAAAATTGCCCACTCCTCCACCTCAAGAAGAAAGTGACTCTTCAGACTCAGAAGAAGTTCAAGTTTATGTACCTTCATCCCATATTCCACCGTTTCCTTTGCACTTACCAGATGATGAACCATTGGGTGATAGACGAAGTCCTGAAGGCCTCGAAACACCGAGAGAAAGTGAAGATTTTAGAGGACGTGCCTCACCCTATGAAAATAGTCGTCAATTTAGAAGGAGAAGCTTATATCAAAAAGGCATGGATAGATACATATCGCGTTATACCGATATCGATGACATACTAGGAACGTCTGGACAAATATATAGCCCTTTTATGGATTCTATATTAGCAAGAAGGACTGGTCAAATAGCTTTTGACGATGATGAGTGTGAAGAAATAGACCCAACGCAAGTCAGAATCCACGACAGCACTGCTCAGAGACCGGTTATAAAGAAAATTCGCGGCAGGTAATTGAACTTTACCTACATATCATTATCTACAGAGTTACAGTTGCATAAAATATAAGTCTTAGAAATTAGAACGCGAATGATAATTTGAATAGCTAAAATGAGAGTCATTTGAAATCATGCATAATGTAATATCACATAGCATTATTATGAGATTACTTTTATGAACCGAAACTTTACGACAAATAAGGTAGTTTTATATAGAAATTTTAGAAAGCTGTTTTCCCGCGACTGCAATCACAAAAAACCATAGCCTATGTTACCCGCTTATTATGAAGCCTCCTGTGGGTGAAGGAATTTTTATAATCGGATCAATATTTCCCTACAAATATCAAAGTTAAAAACTTTATCTCTTTAAAGTATTAGTATAGATTGTAAAGCATTTTTTAACGTAAAGGCGCTACTCGAGAAATCTGCTATCAGAAAAACGTCAGGTAAAATAATAATATCTGATCGATCATCTATTTTAAATGTCAATCTGTTTTAATTTTCAGAAACGAAGTCGCCAGCTATCGTGAAGAGGATCAAGTAAGTAACGAATCATTACAATTAATGACAGAAACTTGTTTGGCTTCTCGCAGTTTGAACAAATAGTGTGCTACTAAAATAAATTGCATCTTTAATAACGTCAGCTGTGCGGACAAAAACTTGCCGGCCACGGCAGGTTATTAAGAGAAAAAGAAGCTAGCGTGAGACCGTGTTACTTGCATGCACTAGAACTATACATACTCACACAAGGCTCCGTTTGAATTGAGTGGACCAACCAATAAAATAGGACTTACGTTATTAAAACTATTCTAGGCTGTAGGTTGAAAAGATAATGGTGAGTTATAAATTGTTTTAAGGTTAAATTTAATTAACAAATCGTTACGAATTTGCAATATCACATGAGGTCTTTGAATTGATCTTGAGTTCATAATAACAGCAAAATATTATCATTTTTTATAATCCAATTGAAACTACAGTTTTATCCATATTTATTATTTACTAGCACCTGCCCCGGCTTCGCATGGATATATCAGAATTTTAAAATACTAGGAGGTATAAATAATATTATGAATGTAATCAATAAAGTTATCTTTGACAAATGGTAGAACTTAAATATTGATAAGAAATATTTTGAATAGTCTTGATCAGCGCTTATTTACGAAAGTATCGTATAGGTGTTTTAGGCATGAGTAGGTATGATTTTCTGTTTTTTATATATATATTTTATAAAATAAGTTTTTATGAGGTACTTGGCAAGAAGCTTTTTGTACTTAGTAAGGCTTCAGTGGTGCGCAGACGCGGGCGCGACCAGTGAACCGCGGTGTCGCATCCTTGAATCGGTCCCCTATGGGAATACAGTGCAAGAGCGAGACAGTGATAGGCTGCCACTGACATTTTAGAAAGGTGACGTCATGCCCCAAGATCCGATGGGTTGGATTTGTGTGTTGATATAATATATTCAACTAAAAAATCGTACCATAAAATAACAAAACTATATTTTAAAAATAAATATTTATACGTCCTAAATAGATTTTTATATTGAAGTTAGGTCTTGATATTTTTCTTAAAGATAAATATTGTTACATGATTGTGAATTAAAAATTGATGAAATATAATTATTAGTTATTAATGTTAAGATATTATATTTTTTTCTATGAAAACTTCATACATGATTTATTTATTGTTTTTATGTTATCTGTATCTTGTCACTTCCTTTTAGGAATCTAGGATATTACATTCAAACAACTAAAAGTTAAATTTGTATTCAAAGTTAATATATGTACATCTTTTTAATAAATTAGTCTTTGAAAAGGCTTGAAATCGTTTACATTTCATCTCTTTCTATCGTGATGTGCCGCAATGTAGTTTCTAAGTGTAAGCCACCCGATGAAAGCGGTCTTCAGTCATGGTCAAATTGTATGTCAAGTTTGGCTATTATAGCGGACACCAAACTTGGCCGGTTAATACTGACGTGAAAATTTTACCTGAGACAACTTGCTTCGCGGCGAAGAGACTTCTTTAGTGATGCTCGTGTTTCCGATGTAAACGGCAGTAGCACAGAATTGCTCCGCAAAAAAGTCGTACAATGCAGTGATCTTGTGTTAGTGTTTTGATCTCAAGGAGTTACAGTCACAGGTTTATTCGCACTCACATTTTCAAACTACTTTTGAACTTGGAGCCGGTTCTACACATTTTTTATCTTTTCCACAGTCTATGGTAAAAATGTTTCTTATTGTTTATGTTGGAATTTTCAAGTTTATTTTTTAAGACTGTACGACCTGTTGCGCTAAATAAAAATAGGTTTTATCAGCGAAGCTTTGTAGAGTAATGCGAACTCTTTGCTATAAACTATTTAGTTTTCTATTTATTCTATTTTCAAATTTTGATACAGTAAATTACCATGAGACTTTGACTTAAAACCATGCAAAGTTTCACTTACATTAGAGATTTAAACGAAAGTATGAATTACATGTTGGTCTCTTATCAATATAAGAATGTAAAAAAAAAACGAAAAGTCGAAAGTAGTTGTATTTCCCCAATGAGTGAAAGAGCCGATGCAACATGCACCGGTTTTGGTACTTGAGGTGGTTACTATTTTACAAGTACTCACGCTTTGTCATTATAAAAGAAACTATGTTTAACCTGTAGTTTAACTAGCAATAATAAACTAAAAGAAATAAATGTAGCTTAATAAATAGTAAACATAATTATAAACACTATTTAGAATCTGTACATGAAGAAAATAATAAACATAATAGTAATTTCATAAACATGTTAAAAGTTAAAAAGCCCCCCTATTATTTATTTTATTTGTTGTTATATCCGCAATATAAAAATGTTATCTGTGAAAATTTCAACTGTCCAATTCCAATTCACAAGATGCCAGGTGATAGACGGACGGACGGACAGTGCGCTATATCAATTCTTATCACATAGCGATATAATATAAATAGAAGAAAATAGAAATTCTGATAAATAAATTATATTACATACTGCCAGTGGCACAAACATCCATTACAAATTTGACATACATTATAGTTCAAAGGCGTCATCAAACCATAAACAATGGACGTTTGTGCAACTGACCAAGAGTTATAAAAACTAATCTCTGGTGAAAAATAACTAAAGATTCCAATTCACTCTTATCGTTTTAAGGCAATTTATTTTCATAATAATGTAGTTCTGATAACAGTGTTTCTATTAAGATAAGACTAAGTATTAGATTTTTAACACTAACTCTGAGTATTGTAATTACCGACTCAAAAGTAGTGAAAACATTTGCACGGATAAAATGGACCGAAAAAGGTACCATCGTTAAACTTTTATCGATAGATAAGGTTTTCGCACTTACAAGTTACAACACAAAAGGTGATAATTTTAAACAATAATAACGCACACATAAAGAATTTTTTAACCAAACGAAACTTTTTTTGTACAAAAACACCTTGAAACTTATCGCAGTTTCATCGTTTCTGGAAGGACGAAAAATACGTTATGATATTACAAAGAGTAAAGATTTGATTATTTGTTTGCATCGAAGAGCAAACAACCGAAACTAGTGAACCGATTTAAAAAAATCTTTCTCCTACGTGAAGATGATATACGTGGATGACATAGGCCATAATTTAAGCAAACAATTTCACGGGAAAGCAGTTAGTAAACTATAAAAGTCTTGTTTGTCTCCTTAATAAAAATGGAATCTCAGTTTTTCCCGTTTTTTTTTGTACACATTAGTAACAGATATTCTTAATAATGGCAATAAATAATTTAAAATCTTTATATAGATAACAACCGATATAAACCGGTTACTAGATTTATCGTCTGTAAAACTGATCAATAAAAGTCATCTACCTATTCAATAATAAAAAAAACTAACTCACTAACTGAGTCGGACTCGCCCATGATGGGTTCCGTAGTAGCCAGCATAGAGTAAAAAAGCTTTGTGTTTTATTTTGTTCGTATAAAAAACAAAGTTATATTTGCGATTTTTTAAAATGTGATTATTCTCAAAAATTGCTGAATAAACTTAGTTATATATCTCGTTCAAACCAATTTACGTAAATTGTGTTCATTCGATATCTAAAGCGTAGGTATAGTTTTTAGGATTTTCAGACACAATAATTTTAAAAGTTGCACATATTCACCATATTGAAAATATGGAAAGATTCCGATGATTCACATTTACCCACCAAGTTTCAACTACGTAAACCTCAGATGTAAACCAAATAGCATCGTACGGAATGACAGAGAAGCTTTTCACAAAAAAAGGGTTTCGTTTTTTACTATTCATCTAGGGACCCTAAAAATAACATTATACTAAGTTTACCTAACAGAACAGAATTATTAAAATTAGTTTTAGGATGTAACAATATTTCTCTAAAAACATAGAACAACAATTCAGAATCCAATATTCGTTTCTTCAGTATAGGCTCTGGTTTACAAACTACTTGTGAAAATTTAAAAAGCTACGGTTATGGTTTATCTAAGCTACGATCTATTGAAAAATAAAATTGAGAAGCATTGAAGGGGCTATCATCCATGAATTAAATTAAGATTTAATTTGGTTGATCTTATGAATTTTCTATATTTCAATATTAAGAAAACACCTAATGTCAAATAGTATTTATCAACGACAAGATTAAAAAATATCCAACATGACATTTCATGGCTTGGGTAAATGGTAATAGATGCGATATTTGAATGCCAAAAATCTAACACTTTTTGGAGGAAAATTAGTAAGATTCGAACATTGTCGACGTAACATTTACAAGTTAAACACTCTAATATTTTTCAAGAAGTTTTATATAAATGGTTATAGAGTTTGCTAATATCGATTATCTTTATTTTAATTACCTCTATCCTATACAATCCTATTATTCTATAGAATCCTATACAACTATAAACATTATATGTTATAAATACTGCAAGTAACACATTACATGTTACACACAAAATGTAAAATTTTAGCAACAAATTTATTCTATTCTTGAATTTATTTATTGAATTAATTTATTTATACACCACTTTAAAAATCAACGTTGATATTTTACAGCTTTATATACTGTACTGTACATTGAATATTTATTTTATATCAAACATCATAGTTCAAAAATTATGTAAGTATAAATAGTTTATGTAGCCCGTTATGTGAGGTTTTTGTTTTTTGGAGTTTTTTACATAAAGTTAAAAAATGAATTCACATGTAGGTATTTAAACTTGTCACATAAATAACAAAAACAGGGATAGGTATTTGAGGCGAGACATTAAAACAGGTTAGGTGACAGGTGGTGGAATCGAAATACCACGGGAGCACTCGTGCCGAACCTTTTGAGCGATTGTTGACAATTTGAGAACCTTTTTTATGATATAAAAATAAAAAGAAATCTTTGTAAAGAACATGCGCAACTTCGTTCGTTATCGTTTTGCCAGAACATAATTTACTAAAATAAAGACCTAATGACAATTGGTAGGAGCTAACTATAGTCAATAGTCATGTTTATAACAAGTTTGTATTGTAGCTACTTACTGTGTTCAAATTTTGTTCTCAACCGATTAAGCTGAAGCCTTGTAGATTTGAGATTAAGGTTCGTTTTGAGAATCTTGATGGTGGTCATTCATCTAAACGTGTTCACTGATGGCGTCACCAGTCAATTTTGAAAGCTTAAATCTAAAAAGTTCTAGACGATTTCGTCTAATAATAATTCATGCTTCTCAATTTTTTGTATGAATTTAAAAAATGGCGAACTGGTGAACCAGGTTC